GACTAGATCGAATGGGTGGAAATTACAAGGGAGTCGTTACTGGCTAAATACCAGGAGAAACTTCCTAACTGTCAGAGTGGTTGAGCAGTGGAACAGTCTGCCTTGGGAGGTAGTGGATGCTCCTTCGCTGGACGTTTCCAAGGGGAGGCTGGACAACCATCTTTCGGCTATATTGTAGGGGTATCTTCCGGCTGTGCTCCTGCAGAGGGCAGGGGGCTGGATGAGATGACCTGCAAGGTCCCTTCCAACTCTAACATTCTATGATTCTAGGGGGGGAATCATGACCATCGATATGAGGTCCCCGGAGGAAAGGGTGGGTGGGTAAAAACATGTTCAAAAAAATGTAAGGCACGGAAGAGTTGTGCGCCGTTGATTCTTCCTCCACGGGTCGAACTGGGGTCCCAGACAGGCAGTGATGCCACGCAAGGGAACTAGTTGTCGTTTGTAACCAGGTGGTCACTAGGTGGTAGCCGATGAGCCCCCCCAAGCTGGGCATGAATCGAGAAGTCCCCTGCGCTTCTCCTCTGCCATGAAATCATCATGTGGACCTCAGGCAAATCCCGTCAGTTTAAGCCCCTCGCCTCCTATGTGTGGAACAGAAAACACAGCCTACCGTGCAGGGATGTTGTAAGCGTAACAACGGGATAACCTATGGGAAGGGTTCCCTATATGCTATAATTATTATTCGGCGTGGTCAACAGCACCTGAAACTCAGAAACCGGTCAGTCTGAAGGGATTTCTGAGAGGCCGTCTGGGTTATAGGGTTTGGTTTCGTTTCGCAACAGAGGTATTTTTCCACCAGCCTCCCCGAGATGAGGTTTCCTGACGGGCTGTTAAAAGTAACATCATTCTCATAACAGGAAGCGGCAACGGTTAAAACCAGATTCAGAAATACAGAGAGAACACACGCCTGCCTACAACTAAAGAGTAAAACAGAGGAAAGAAAGAAAGAAAGAAAGAAAGAAAGAAAGAAAGAAAGAAAGAAAGAAAGAAAGAAAGAAAGAAAGAAAGAATTCCTGTAGCATGGAAGACTGTAGAAGAGAGAGAGAGAGAAAAAAGAAAAGAAAGCAAGAAAGAAAGAAAGAAGAAAAGAAGGAAGAAAAGGAAAAAAGAAGACAGAAGGAAAAGAAGGAAGGAAGGAATTCCTGTAGCATGAAAGACTGTAAAAGAAAGAAAGAAAGAAAGAAAGAAAGAAAGAAAGAAAGAAAGAAAGAAAGAAAGAAAGAAAGAAAGAAAGAAAGAAAGAATTCCTGTAGCATGGAAGACTGTAGAAGAGAGAGAGAGAAAAAAAAGAAAAGAAAGCAAGAAAGAAAGAAAGAAGAAAAGAAGGAAGAAAAGGAAAAAAGAAGACAGAAGGAAAAGAAGGAAGGAAGGAATTCCTGTAGCATGAAAGACTGTAAAAGAAAGAAAGAAAGAAAGAAAGAAAGAAAGAAAGAAAGAAAGAAAGAAAGAAAGAAAGAAAGAAAGAAAGAGAGAGAGA